GAGGAAACGCTCTCTCTGGGTGGACAGCTCTGATGTGGCTTCGTTTAGAGCGGTCTCCAGTTGTCGAATCCGCAAAGCCTGAAGTTCTTTCCATTCTCTTTCTTTACAAGCCAGCTGGGCCTCCAGGTCCACAGCTTCCTGCATGGTTACGAAGCAGATGTTGAACAACAGGGCACTGAAACACTTGACATCCTGTTAAGCAAATCTGTAGACACAAGAAGTGATTACAAAGTGCTCATCAGAACAAGTTTATAAGCAAACATCCTAAATGAAACCCTACACATCATATAAAGCCATAAATTGGTTAAAAAGGCATCTGATAATGGCATGTATTTTAAGTTGTATCCTTCGTGATCAGCTAAAAAGTTCAGCTAACGTTACAAGAAGAACATAAGTCCTTATGGCCAAAATACTGAACTGTCGTAGTGGCTGGGCAAAGTTTTTAGCGATAGTTCATATTAAAACAAGAAGTATAACTTCATAAAAACAAGCTATTTTAAACAATTTCAACAGAATTAGAACTATTTAATTCAATAAAATTGTTACTCACCTTCACGTGTATATCAGTCCAAGAATTAATGAAGAGGCAAGTATTTACTTCGGTTAGCTTGCACAGCGAATATTGTTTTATTTTATGTTCTTGTCATAAGTACATATGACCGGAACTGTGTAAAAGTCAAAATACACAGCAGCTGCTCCCCAAGGGAGTTGCTGAATATGTCTAAAATAGTTTGCATTTAACGTTTAGGTTAGCTAAGCTAACTAGCTAAGGCATAGCAGGAGTTCTAGCTCGGCGCCGCCACAACTATCCATATTCCTATGGTAACAAAGGGCGTCTGCAGCAACATCCGTTTCTATGGTTTGCCTGACGAATGAGTTCCCGTTTTTAATTATTTACGTTACAACTGAGCGTCATTTGCTTACTTTGAAAGGCGGAAATTGTGAGTTCACTTCTGATTAAGCTCTATTTCTGGCATGACTATTATTTCCCGCTATAAAAGCATCACGCTTATCGTAAAGTTATAAAACGTTTCCGAGACCTTTGTTTGAAAAGAAATATTAAATAAATATGGATTCATAAATAAGAAATAGTATTGTATTTTTGAATTGTATATTTGGTTAAGTTACGTAACGTTATACTAAATGTTTCTGACAAAGTACTACAAAGGACGTTTTACCCTACAGACTCTGGCACGTCTGTCAGGCGTACATTGTGTACCTCCCTGCCAGAAGTATAAGACAAGTTGAAACTAGTGAAAACCTGTGATACAACGTTTCCTGCGGCTTACAAAACTGTACAAAAGCGACTGACGTAAAGGGAAATAAGATAGTGATGTCCGGTTCGTGAACGAATCGTTCGATTTAACCGGTTCTTCTTAGTGAACCGGTTGAACCAGTTCACCAAATCGGACTGAATCGTTTGAAACGGTTCGCGTCTCCAGTAAGCATTAATCCACAAATTACTTAAGTTATTCACTTTTTTTACGTGGCTGACACTCCCTCTGAGTTGAAATAAACCAATATCCCGGAGTAATTCATTTACTCAAACAGTACACTGACTGAACTGCTGTGAAGAGCATCACCCTGTTTTGCAACTCTTCAATTTTAGCTGAGTCACAAAAACAAAAAAAAACCCAATTTTTTTTTTGCTGAGTCACTATGATGTGTGCCACAACCACACATGGGGGGAAATGCGAAATATATTTTTTTGTTCAGCACACAGCTAAGCTAATGAGAAACAAAACTGATGCTTCATATATATATCATATAAAACTGATGCTTCATCGGCTTACAAAACTGTACAAAAGCGACTGACGCAAAGGGAAATAAGACACCTGATTCACGTGGTTTCTACCTGCCTGCTGTCACGTTCTAACTTGTATCTGTACTTAGTGTTTAAATTATTCATTTTCTGTCATTTATTAATAAGAATGTAGCATGTAAATCATTTCTTAGTCTTATTAAGATGGATGCTACAACTTCCCGAGGAAACAAAATGTTCCTCTTTTCAGTTTTTGTAATATCTGCCTGTATGTTTTACAATCATTCACTACTCAGAGCTCTCTACAAAACCAACAGCTGTCTATACATAATATAACCACAAACAATGTATCTAAAGACGTGTTTTGAGTTGTTGATAAATTGCTGAATTGCAAGGAAGTGTCATCACCCTGTTTTGCAACTCTTCAATTTTAGCTGAGTCACTATGATGCGTGCCGCAACCACAGTGTGTGACTCAAGTGTTTCATTGGTGACAGAACAGGCTACAGTCGGATGAGATCAGCACCACAGTCAGCTGAGCGGATCTCATTCAATGTCTCTTCAAAAGATGTGCCTTGCGAACGTGATGGTCCTGGTCCTAGGAGGGCATCATCAGTGAAAAACTTTAATCATAGAGCATCGTTAAGGTATGTATATAGGACTGATGCCTTTAAATTGCTCCCCAAGGGAGTTGCTGAATATGTCTAAAATAGTTTGCATTTAACGTTTAGGTTAGCTAAGCTAACTAGCTAAGGCATAGCAGGAGTTCTAGCTCGGCGCCGCCACAACTATCCATATTCCTATGGTAACAAAGGGCGTCTGCAGCAACATCCGTTTCTATGGTTTGCCTGACGAATGAGTTCCCGTTTTTAATTATTTACGTTACAACTGAGCGTCATTTGCTTACTTTGAAAGGCGGAAATTGTGAGTTCACTTCTGATTAAGCTCTATTTCTGGCATGACTATTATTTCCCGCTATAAAAGCATCACGCTTATCGTAAAGTTATAAAACGTTTCCGAGACCTTTGTTTGAAAAGAAATATTAAATAAATATGGATTCATAAATAAGAAATAGTATTGTATTTTTGAATTGTATATTTGGTTAAGTTACGTAACGTTATACTAAATGTTTCTGACAAAGTACTACAAAGGACGTTTTACCCTACAGACTCTGGCACGTCTGTCAGGCGTACATTGTGTACCTCCCTGCCAGAAGTATAAGACAAGTTGAAACTAGTGAAAACCTGTGATACGTTTCCTGCGGCTTACAAAACTGTACAAAAGCGACTGACGCAAAGGGAAATAAGATAGTGATGTCCGGTTCGTGAACGAATCGTTCGATTTAACCGGTTCTTCTTAGTGAACCGGTTGAACCAGTTCACCAAATCGGATTGAATCGTTTGAAACGGGTCGCGTCTCCCGTAAGCATTAATCCTTACAAAACTGTACAAAAGCGACTGACGCAAAGGGAAATAAGACACCTGATTCACGTGGTTTCTACCTGCCTGCTGTCACGTTCTAACTTGTATCTGTACTTAGTGTTTAAATTATTCATTTTCTGTCATTTATTAATAAGAATGTAGCATGTAAATCATTTCTTAGTCTTATTAAGATGGATGCTACAACTTCCCGAGGAAACAAAATGTTCCTCTTTTCAGTTTTTGTAATATCTGCCTGTATGTTTTACAATCATTCACTACTCAGAGCTCTCTACAAAACCAACAGCTGTCTATACATAATATAACCACAAACAATGTATCTAAAGACGTGTTTTGAGTTGATAAATTGCTGAATTGCAAGGAAGTGTCATCACCCTGTTTTGCAACTCTTCAATTTTTGCTGAGTCACTATGATGCGTGCCACAACCACAATATGTGGGGGGAAATGCGAAATATATATTTTTTGTTCAGCACACTGCTAAGCTAATGAGAAACAAAACTGATGCTTCATATATGGAGGGAAGGTCCGTAAATCTCCTTTAAATCCCCTGAGCACATAGTTTGAAATTTGAATAGGAATGAGAGAGAAGAGAGCGGTGGGGAAACGCACGTAGTGCCCTCACACACACAGCCGTATCATTGGCTGCACGTCAGTGTGGCTCAAGTGTTTCATTGGTGACAGAACAGGCTACAGTCGGATGAGATCAGCACCACAGTCAGCTGAGCGGATCTCATTCAATGTCTCTTCAAAAGATGTGCCTTGCGAACGTGATGGTCCTGGTCCTAGGAGGGCATCATCAGTGAAAAACTTTAATCATAGAGCATCGTTAAGGTATGTATATAGGACTGATGCCTTTAAATATGTCAACATGTGTTCTAAGATAATGATTGGGTGATTTTGCGCATGCTAAGCGTGCGTGCGTCGTCGGGATGGGGGGTGCTGAATGCCGGTGGGCTGCTATGGAGATTGACTGATGGAAAGTAACAGGTTTTGGTTCAGAAACACAAAGAATATTCTTTTGTCTATTTATCGTTGAAAATATACACCGTGTTACAGAATAGAAACATTTCTAATTACGTGTATATGTCGGGAATAATCCACATACCGATACAATTGTCTTATTTGATACTAGTCTGATTATGATATAGTGTAATCATCGAGTAGTTGTGGCTATTATAGTGCTACAATTGTTCAAGTGAGAACATTTATACTTAAGGATGGTATATATGTGGATATATACCTATGTGGCAGTGAAAGCGCTATTGGTGGAGGAGAGAGAGAGAGAATAAAAGTCACGTTTAGCACGTAGACCAGAGAACGCCGTGCATCAGATGCTCTTGATGCAAATATTAAGACACAGAATTACATAATAATTAATGTAATTATGAAGTGTACGGATCTTACAGGGGAGTCGATTCTATAAAGGTATTTCGACAGGAAATGTTGTCTTTTGAACAGTTAACCTATATGACGTATGCTATTTAAATCTATAATTTTGTCAGCGTACCATCCTGAAATGAACCAAAATGTTCAATTAGCCTACTGTTACTGTGGTTACCACCTCAAGTATATATATATATATATATATATATATATACACATGACTTTGATAATAAAAGTAATCGCATCTTTAGAATTCTGCAAATGATAATAAAAAAAAACCCTCCTGAAATGGCTTTTTTATTCTAAAATCATTTTCTTTTAGAGGTAGGGTTTAAGTTGGTCTACAGTATTTATAAATGGTTTTTATATATATATATATATATATAATCAGGTGTGTTATATTAAGAACCAATGACCTGAGTATTGTAGGGGGAGGAGGTATATATAATGAAGGTATGTGTAATATGTATGTAATCTGCCTTAATTCCCTTCTCGGACTTAACCTTATCACCATATCCAATACCATTCATAACTATAATCATATAATCAAAACAATGATAAATTAGGAGTGGTATCACATACAGATTTATATATAGAATATACATTGAGTAGATGTTTGAAAATCTAAAATAAATAAATAAATCCATAATCTTCTTGTCATTGCATTGCGACTGACAGATTAGAATCAGCCGTTTCGCTAATTAGTATGGACATGACAAGAAGCATCCATAATTATCAACCAGCCAGTGCCAGCTGTGACCTGTTTCAGAGAAACAATTCAATGGCCTTTCTAAAATGAATCCTAACCCTACATAACACACATAATTTGAATCCCAACTCCATATTCTGTATAAAAAATTACATGGAACCACATGGAGAAATGTCAGGGTCTTAATTTTTAAAGGCTACGGAGTAGGTCCGACGCAGAAGTATAAATCAGCCTTTAGGCAGGTAGGGTACAGAAGCGTGCCCCTCAGCCCCCACCCCCTGCTTGCTCCTAGACGAGGTAGATATGTGGGAGGCTCGGAACAGTAAGAGATAATCAGTTTTCACGGACCTTAAGCAAGGTAGGTTGAACATGCATTGGTTGCATGACTTTCTCTTACCTAATGTAGCTCTAATACCTCATTCTTGATTAACTAATTTCCACTGTGTAACGTGTTGAATAACCCCTTTTTTTTCTTCCTTGCATGCCACTAATGGTAAGTTCTTAAAATGTAAATGTTTTTAATGCATCTAAACACATTTTACTACACCACTTATAAAGATGGCTTAAGTTGTCTTGTGCCGTTTTAGTGGTTTAACTGCTTTACATTTAAAAACACTTTTTTTTGTTTGTTTATTTATATGCATGTAGTACACAATGCCATATACACTAGTTGTTCTTGCAGATGAATAGTTTTGGAGTTAACATTGATTAAAATACTGTGTCTACAGTGGACCAGGTGTCCATTAGCTTGTTTTAAATGAGTATGTATGAGCATACATTGACCAGTCTCTTTAGTTTAATGATTCATGGAGCAATCTTGCCCTTTAAGAAGGTCAATATAGGAAGGCTGAGCATTCTGTAATGGCTTTTTATAGCATCATGTGCTGAATGCCACATTGTCTTCACATTGTTCAAATCAAGTTGTGGTGCGTGTGTGGTTTTATTTATTTATTTTTTGCTAAATGGGTAGAAATGAGAAAAACAAACTCACAAGCCAGAAGACAAATGTCTTCAGGAAGTTGGGTAGCCATCAACAGCTATCTGGCAGCTCCTCCTGTTGAGAGACATTTGAAAGGGCACAACAGTTCACTCATTGCATAGTAGGTTACAGAAGTGTTTGCTAATCCTGGTCCTGGAGCACCCCCACATTACACATTTTGGATTCCTTCCACATTTATCGCCCATGATTCAACTCATCGGGTCGTTAGTTGAATGCTCATGAACTGAATTAGGTGTGTAAAATAAGGGACACAGAAAGTACAGAGCTGGCAGTTTCCCAGGATCAGGATTGGGGAACTCTGGGTTAGAAGCCAAATAATTAACTGATCTAAAATAAAAACTGCTTGTGATGCAGGATTCCTTAAAAGTTGTTACTTGGTGGTGAGTATTACTGTGTGCCAGGCAAACAGAACAAATCTTGCTGTACAGGGATATTTAGTAAACAAGCTACATGAGGCATGATTTTGTCTGTTGAGCACTAGTTATCCATAAACATTAGTATTTTTTTTCAGTCATGTTGTGACCAAACAGTATGCTAACTTTCTTGTTGAATTAAGCAGTAGCACCATCAATGACACATTTTATGAGACCGTTTCTTCTCTTTTTGTTGCAGTTGAGATCTGACAAAGCATCATGGGAGGTGCGGTTGTAGACACTGGTGACAGTGGGGTCAAGGCCCCCGATGGAGGATGGGGTTGGGCTGTCCTCTTCGGCTGCTTCATCATTACAGGCTTCTCCTACGCCTTTCCCAAAGCGGTCAGCGTCTTCTTCAAAGAACTTATCCGAGAGTTTGGAGTGGGCTACAGTGACACTGCTTGGATCTCCTCCATACTTCTTGCAATGCTTTATGGCTCAGGTACAGATGTCCACTGGCAGCAGGGATGGATGAGAATATTTTGTAGCTAAGTGGGTTTTCAAACGGTGGGTCCACAAGAGGGTTCTAGGTGGTCTGTGGAACACTGACATTTTGGAAGGACAAAATTATTCTCGTCCTATTCTTTCTTGGAAATTATGATTTTGCATGCTAATAGTAGTTTGCTTGTTGCAGGGCCTATATGCAGCATCCTAGTGAACCGGTTTGGGTGTCGCCCTGTGATGATGGTCGGGGGCCTTTTTGCCTCGCTGGGCATGATTTTAGCATCCTTTGCAACCAACATCATCCACATCTATCTCAGCACAGGAGTCATAACAGGCGAGTAATGTTTTGTGATTTGCTTATGAAATTCTGATGTACTTAATTTGAATGTATTAACATCTTCAAATATGATGTACTCCAGGTTTGGGTCTTGCTCTGAACTTTCAGCCATCCCTCATCATGCTGAACAGATATTTCAGTGAGAAAAGGCCCTTGGCCAATGGGTTGGCTGCAGCTGGAAGTCCCGTGGCTCTGTGCTGTTTGTCTCCTCTTGGTCAGGTTCTTCAATACAAGTATGGTTGGCGTGGAGGCTTCCTCATCCTTGGAGGGATTCTACTGAATTGCTGTGCATGTGGGGCCCTCATGAGACCCTTGACGGCACCGAAAAAAACAAGCGAGGTGGAAGAGAAGGAAACCAAACCCAAACCAAAGCCCAAGCTTCTTGACTTTACCGTCTTTAGAGATCGTGGCTTTTTGATTTACACGGTAGCTGCGGCCATCATGGTGTTAGGTCTTTTTGTGCCTCCAGTGTTTGTGGTAAGCTATGCCAAGGAACTGGGCAATGAGGACACAAAGTCTGCCTTGCTGCTCACCATACTAGGGTTCGTTGATATCTTCGCCAGGCCAACATGCGGTATCATCGCTGGGCTCAAGTGGGTTCGGCCACGATGTGTTTACCTCTTCAGTTTCGCTATGATCTTCAATGGCATCACTGATATTATCGGCTCCATGGCCAAAGACTATCCATCTCTTGTGGCGTTCTGCATCTTCTTCGGTATCTCCTATGGCATGGTTGGAGCCTTACAGTTTGAAGTGTTGATGGCCATTGTGGGGACAGAGAAGTTCTCCAGTGCCATCGGCTTGGTGCTGTTGGTTGAAGCCTTTGCTGTGTTGGTGGGACCACCTGGAGCAGGTCAGTGCTGCAGTTAGTTTTCTATGTTCTGTAGTTTCTGTGCTGTTAAAGAGAAGTCATAAGATAAGCAGTGATCTTATAAAACATTTACATGACCAAAGTATCACCTCCCAAACTTGCAGATTACCTACCAAAGAAAACCACATTCTCTTTGCAAATGGTCAAAAACTAAAAAAAAAAATATTATTGGAATGCAGGTGGCCCTTTATGTATCTTACAAGAACCTTTTGTTTTGCATTGTAAGGGCCTTCTATTTGTATGATACCATATGGTTCCTCCTTATTTGTATTGTTTAGTCCCCCAAACACTGAACAAATGGACTGTTATAGTTGTCCCAACAATAACAGTTGCAGTTCATACGTCATTGATATGTTTGCCCTGGTGACCTGTCAGGACCGCCACCACAACTGGCCGATCCATGTGGGACGTTTATCTCATAGCTCTCTTGTTTCATTTCACAGGTCGCCTTCTGGATGCCACAAAGAACTACATGTTCGTCTTCCTGCTGGCTGGGTGTGAGGTGGTCCTCTCGGCCCTTGTGCTCGCAATCTGTAACATGCTCTTCATCAAAAGGAAGCCCGAACAGCCTGACCCTCCAGCCAAGATGGAGATGGCCGTTATCGACACGGAGATGGAGGAACTCAACAAAGCACCAAAGAACGACCAAGACAACGGAGGTGGTGAAAATGGGAAGAAGCAAGCCATCGAACATGAAGCAACGACAAAATCTGATCATAAAAAGGTTGAAGAGCCTGAAAGCATAGGGGTGGACTCGATAGAGCTGGAGAACGCTTCCAAAAATGTGACTGAACCAAAAGGTGTGGTTGTAGAACCTGAATCCTCTCTGTGAAGATACTAGAACAATAGACATGACCGAGCTTCCCTTGTAGGACTCCTGGACATGCGTTTGATGTTGTAGTGTATGCTTTTTGTATCGCACTTCAAATGTGGTTGCAAAGGACTGCTTTCAGACCTGCTGTCCAGTTCAGATTCAGCCACTTTTAGGCCAATCACTGCCTTGTATGTTAGCAGATATGTCAGGATGTGTTCTCAAACTTGCATTCAAAAAATAGATTCAATTTATACTGTGGCACCAGATTTTAGGCCAGTAAACACTCCACATCAGAGCAGGTCACCAGCATTATACTGAATATTACCAGCTTGCTTCTTTGTGGCATTCAGTGTTTGCTAATGTGTGTTGTTGGTTCATAGTACCTTTTTTGTCATCTACTGAAACATTTTAAACTGGTCCTGGGAGAGCACAGGATTGTATTAAAGTCCTGCATTTCAGACAAATGGAACCAGATTAACATGTACAACATGCAAATGAGGATCCCAGTTAGTCTTTTTAAATTGGAAACGTTCTTGAGGAATTTACAGAATTCAGACATGCTTGTGTTTGTGGAACGGTCCAACGTATATATGGGACATTCTACCAGAAATGTACATTATCTGTCCTTGACTTGTTACAGTGAATAAAAAGTATTACATCCAAAAAGTGTCTAAAACTGACTGATGGTTGATTTCTGTGAGTTGCTCTGTAAAGGAATATGTCATTCATTAGGTTCTCAGATATTTTTGTATTTATTAAAAACACTTTTAAAAATTACAAATCCTGTCCTTGTCCTTGTCCTCAGCTAAATTGGACCTACAGCTTTCATAGTTTTGTTATGCTAAAAACTGTTATTTAGGAAAAAAAACTCCAATAACAAGTTTAAGTTGTTATCATTCACATCAACTGATTAAAAAAGTGATTCTGTCCCTTACATATTATTGGTGGAGTTCCCTTTAAAATCTTAAATGATTCCCTTTGAGCTAAATTGACCTGTTTCCCTTACATCGGTCAGTCCTGTCATGTTTACATAAAACTCAACAAATGTATGTAATGCGCCTTTAAAGGTATGACTCAAAGGAAGTGACATAATTTGACTGAGGTGAAGCTGACACTGATCAAGGGTGAGTTCTGTCATTGAATTGTCAATGATTTTAAGCTTGTTTTTGAATGTTTTTTTTGAGGAGGAGGACGAGCTAAAGGGTCAGGCCCTGTCACGGTAAAACATCCCAGAAAATAATGAAAATCTTTTAAATCCAAAACATGTCTAAAAAAGTTACTGAATTCCTTGATTGCATGTTAACAGTTTTTATGCTAGCATGCTAGGAAATATTGATGAATTAATCTCTGTAACTGTGTAGATGAAGGTTGGAGTATATATCCACTACTATGTTTTTGAAAAAATCTCCTATGTAAAGTCAGTTTTTTTACAACTATATGAGTGCCTGGCGGGGTATTCTGTGATTTTGTGTACTACAGTTGACCGAAAAGTTGCTTATATTCCTTATAGAAATTACAAAACCATGTTAGATACAATCAGGGACATGTGACCAATAAGAAAATGCTATTTGTATCAAAGAAATTCATTAGGAAACCATTCTAACATATACAAATTTGTCTGTGACAGGGCCTGACATTTTAGGGGTGAAATGCGTATAAAAATGTATTTATTTCAATCATAAAAACATGCTGAGATGGCATGATATGTGTTTCATATAGATTAACATGTCCTCCATATGACTCAACGTTCAGATTTAAGAATAAGATATTTTTTTCACCCAAGATTTTTACAAGTGGAAATGTACGTTTCTGGTAGAATGTCCCATATAACTATTAGAGGACAAAGCTCGGTTACATTTTTATACCATTTTAATTGCAACTCTCTCGTTTAGATTCAGTATTTATATTAAAGTGTTGTCAAATTTGTATTTATTCATCTAAATGTCAGTGTTTCTAGACCAACTGCATCAATCAGGAGGACCACAGCTTGTACTTGTATGTTGGTAATGTAACATTTATTTTTAATTAACTCAAAAGCTTTTTATTTGTATTTTTGAAACCCAAATAGTAATACAGGATTTATGAAAATCGCGGTATGGCTAAAACCCTGTTAAATGTTACCTCGTTTTTTTTCTTTCACCAGCAGTTTGTGAGTAGTGACCCTCTTCTACTATATTCTTAAGACACTTGAGCTATTTTTGGTTGTGCCTTAAGTCTTGTAGCCGTACACAATTTGTGAGTCATTTTAGAAATAAATACATCCTTCCCTCTCCACTGAACCTTGACTCATTTTTTAAATCTGAACAATAATTCTAGTATATTTTTGAACTTAAACCCGATGGGATTCAATCCGCTACTTCACTGGTGTGCAATACAAAATGATGCATTAAATTACTTGGTGAACTGAATGGTTTGAAATTATGGTTGCTAGTAATAAAAAGGTAAGGCAGTGAAAACTCTAAATGACCACACTGTTTACTCCTACCAGACAGTTCAGATCCAATTAGCACAGGATTTGTGCAGTATTCTCAGGCCAGATGGTGTCCATCTGTAAATGCACCTAAACTAGCATGGTAATCAGTCCTGAACATATACCCTTCTGTAAAGTTCAGATCTAAATTTGCTTTAACAATCAAGTGAACATAATGTTAAACTAAAGTAAGCTGAAACAAATTAGCTATTGCATAGTTAATGTAGAGTGGCTAAAGTACTTGACTTTTTTTCAGACTCAAATAAGCAGAGCAAAATATTGCATATTGTTTTCTATGCTGACAGTCAAAGCAATTTTGGATGTTTCAGTGCAACTATGCAATTAGATGCATACAAGACAAAAAATAGATTACAGGTGCATGCGAAGAGAAGAGCAGGAAAAATAGAAGGACAAAAGGCAGTAGGATAGTGGGTTAAGCAGAGGAAATAAAGATGAAGCTCCATGCCTCCTGGAGAATTCCATCATGAGAAATTCACAGTGACAAAAATAGTGGGTTTCTATACTGCCCGAGGTATCAATGGCAGTAACTGTGATACTGGCATGAACTACAAAGCCCAGTGCTTTCTAGAAAACAGGACAAGTATTAAAAAAAACCTTAATGGTGGATAAGCAAAACCAACTACATTTAATTGTCTATACCCTATGCACATATGCACAGAATAAAAAAATTTATATAAAATCACATTTGCAAATGACAGCAGAACAAAGCAACTTGCCCCAATAATAATTTACAAATTTAATATTTAAAAGAAAAAGATGCAAATACAAGTACTTCATTTATTTACACTGTTTAAAATACACAAATACGGTGGTAATACAAATTCTTACAGGACTGACAAATTGGCATGACTTCCACAAAAGTATGTGGAGCCCAAAATAGCCATGGGCTTCAAAATGGGGGAGAATTAGATGAAAAATTTCACCCAGGAAGTCGCCAATGTCCCCTTACAGATGACAGGGGAACAAGATGACCAGAACAGCTTTCAAGGTGCATTAGAAAAGCCACATCAGTGCCGGAATATTTCGTAAAAGGGGAAAAATCATTAAACATTACAGCAAGACTTTGATTCGTTTTCATTCTTTCAACCTTTGCAGACACGAGCAATATCTCTTAACATATGATTTTTCACTTTCAAAACACCATCTGAACCATCAGAAAAAACATCTGCAGCAAAGTATAACCAACCTTTTCAAAAGACACAAAGCATTTCTAAGCACGATCCATTCATGAGTCAAAACAACATCCTCAAGAATCAAAGTTCATGCTCCGAATGCATGAAACCCCCAAAGTCTGGCACTTCATTGTTGTGGCTTTATGAAAGAGTTGATAAAAATAACTGGTGATAACTTTCAGACTCAAACCATCTGCGGTCATTTCATAGTCTTTCTGAAGAATCGCATGGAAACATTTACACGATTATTTTAGTTATTTCACAGCTTAGAAACAGAAGACACAATAATGGGGGAGGCAGTATTGTACAGTTAAAGAGATCAATATAGCAGACAGACAGGTGAAGTTCACAGGGTCCTGCTGTGAGGACGTGTATGAGTGAAAACCACGCTGTGGAGTCAGTTTGCCATGAGCGATGTATGCTGGGATTCTGGCCCCTTTGTGGTCCGTCCACTCTATACCACCAGCTTCACCGCGGGAAAGGAACCTCACCAGCTACAGAGGGCTATTAAATTGTATATTAAAAAATAAATACACTGAGTAAATAGAAAATTTTAAAGTGAACCCATAAGGCCACCAGACGGACTCGTCTGTTGCCCAGGTTAAAATACAAAAGAAAATTCAGTACACAGAAACAAAAAGATCCATTTAAACCACACAGACGACACATTAGCCTCAATCACAAGGAGCCTGAACCAGAGAAAGTTGTGCAGCACTGAATGTGTATGAGTGGAACTGTGAAGGAAGGACGCAGGAGCTGACAATGGTGTGGCTGGCTGATCCGGTCTCTGATTGGTCAACCAAATGGTGTGAATTCGCACCAGGCTGTAGCTCTCATGTCCACGAGAACATTTAAAAAGTGTAGGTGAGAAAATATGAGAACATGAGAGAGAAGAAGAGGAGAGGGAGCCTGTAAGCAAAGAGGTCAGGTTGGTTCTACACCATTTTGGTTTGGTCAATAGAAGAGAGACACTGACGCCCGATCTATTAGCTGATGGTGGAGAGCTGTCAATCAGCCATGTGTAGTTAGGTTGCCCATCCTGCTCCATATTGCAAAGTGGAGGCTTCTGGGACATGGAGACAATCTGTAAACAGCAACAAGATACAGAGACACCCAATAAACAATTGCCACAATCCAAAAGAGTCTTTTTAAAAGGTTCATCATGAACGATGCATTTAATATCAGCAAGACGAATCTTACAAAAATGGGTCATATTTTAAGCCAAAAAATTAGGAAGAAAATTATATAAAATAGTTTTAATATTAGTAATCAAACGTGTGTGTATATGGGATTCTACACATGGCACATTTATTGTCAAACTACAAATATTTGAGTAAAACGTACATTTTAGTCAGAATTATTGCACTCCTATTTTATTGTGCTGCATCTGTTTAGCTCACATGCACGTGGTAGTGCTCGTTCACTGAAGAATAGAGGAAGTTTAGAGGAGAATGCAGAAGGCTCATGCACTCCTGACAACAAAATGGAAATATTTCCATGGCTTTCTAACATTTACAGATGAAGGATATACCTGTGAAATGCACTGAGGAAAACACCACATCTCAAATGCATTAAACGGCGCAAGTATCTGTCAGCACATGTATCCGTCAGAGCATCCGTTATTTTTCAGATGAGCTCGTATCAAACTACTGTATATCGATATAAACAGCATTGCCTCATATCATATTGTTTATGAAAAAAATATATCGATATATCGTACAAACCCGATATACCGCCTCAGTAAGATTTTTCATTTTTTTGACTCACTCATTTAGCAAGGACACATTAATTTGATTAAGTGACAGAAAAGACTTTAACATCATTACAAAAGATTTACATTTCAAGTAAGTTCTTTGGAAGTGTTAATTTCGTTAATGAAAACTAAAATGTTCGTTGACGAGATTTCTTCCTTAGACGAAAAAAGACAAGACTAAAATGTATTTAAAAATTTAAAACTTTACCAAAATATTTTTATTTTTGTCAAAAAAAAATGAGAGAGAAAATACTACGGACTGCTGTACATGTCTCTACTACGCGAGCTTTCATGTTTGCGGATGCCAGATATTAAAGGGGTCCTATTATGCTTTTACAAAGTCTTGATTTTGTTTTGGGGGTGTACTAGAACAGGCTCTCATACTCGGTTGTTCGAAAAACACATTATTTTTCACATTTTACATTATTACAACACCTCTCTCCTCAGTCTGGCATGAACGGCTCGAATAGTTCCTGTATCAAATGAAGGCCCGCCTTCTGAAATACGAAATGTGCTGTGATTGGTTAGCAAGGCCAGTGTGTGTTGTGATTGGCACCACTCGGCGCCTGGTCGGGAAATGCACGATGAAGCCGCATGCTGACCTTACGTTCGCGCTCCATGCCAGTGACCGGTCTCGGTGAGGATGTGTTCGCTGTGAGATGAGATGACTCCTTACAGTGTTTCAAGTACTTGGGAAGTGGCAGAGGCAAGTGAAAGACTGTTTACCTGTGTGAGAGGTGGGTGTGAGGGGGGTGGAAGGAGCTCCGTCCTGTGTGGGGCGGGGTCTGCCTGAGGCTGCTGGGATCCCACGAGCTGCAGGATTCCTGCTGTGCCTCATCCGCTCATCTCGCTCTCTCCTCTCACGTTCTGCCTCCTCTGCTGTACGGTTGGCGCCCTGAGAGGGTAAGTGCAACATTATAAGACACAGAAGCAAATAGTGCTACATGAAGTGCACAGGAGACTTAACACAATTGATTCCAATACTCTAGTACAGTGCTTCTCAAACCAGTCCTGGAGTACCCCCAGCCCTGCACATTTTGTATGTCTCCCTCATCTATCACACCTGATTAAACTCATCAGCTCATATATATCAGCAGTGAATTAAGTACACAAACATTCAAAATTTTAGGGTCAGCAAGATTTGTTTTAAAGAAATACTTTATTCAGAAAGGATGCATGAAATTTATCAAAAATGACAGTAAAGATGTTTATAAATGTACAGCATTTATTTGAAATAAAAGTATTTATTAAAAGAAACTTGGAAAAAAAAAAAAAAAAAAAAAAAAACGCCCCCAAAGGTACCACCACCAATACAGGAAAAAATATATATCAGCAGTGAATTAAGTACACAAACATTCAAAATTTTAGGGTCAGCAAGATTTGTTTTAAAGAAATACTTTATTCAGAAAGGATGCATGAAATTTATCAAAAATGACAGTAAAGATGTTTATAAATGTACAGCATTTATTTGAAATAAAAGTATTTATTAAAAGAAACTTGGAAAAAAAAAAAAAAAAAAAAAAAAATCGCACCATAGGTACCACCAAAAAAAATAAAAAAGTTAACCTTAAGATATTGTTTTCAACACTGATAAGCAAAATTACTTCAGCAGCAAAACAGCATATTAGAATGTGAAAAATCTTGTGAATCTGTACTCTATTGCTAGTCTGGATTTGGGTGAAGGCTACAGTTTGTCCGGGCAGAACAATGATGTCTCACCTGGACAAGCAATAGAGTGCAGATTCACAAGATTTTGGTCTTTCGAGCTGGATGACAGGGGTGACTGGAAGAGTCCATGTATCGAAGGGGGGACACTTTCTACAGAATGATTTATGAAGGATCGCGTGACCCTGAATACTTACACTGAACACTTCAGAGTAATGGTTGCTGAAAAATTCAGCTTTTTCATCACAGTAATGTTACATTTTAAAATACATTTAAATAGAAAAATCACATGTAGATGGCCATCTTGTGTAGATGGCAATTGGGAATAATTGAAAGCCACGATTACTGCAGTTTAGGTCTGGGCGATATAACGTTATCGGTATTTATCGACGATACACCATCATCGATAACGATTGAAAAAATGTTCGATATAGCGCACGATAGTTTCACGCTTTTTTTCATTTAAAGGCTTGTGTTATGAGTGACAAGCAGACAGGCAACAGAACACACAAACACATGCTGATATGAGTGCCGTGCCTGCCTGCGATGAGGAGACTATGAATAAAAAAAAAAAAGGAATATTAGTCGAATTTAAAATAAAAATTTGCATTCGAATGCAAAAACGGTGTATTTGAATTTTAGGTGTGCGTCCGGGAGCCTTATCAGAGGCGCAACGAGATGAGATGATGATGTATGTGTCGTTGCATTTTAATGTTTTTGTTAGACTATCCAGTGGAACCCACAAGATGTGCCGCTGCTGCATTTTTCATTCAAAATATTAGAGAAATAAAGAAGCTCAATGCGGAGAAGATATTGGTTAGGTTAAAACTGAAACCAAGCCATTCACACAGAACACATATTCAGAGCATTTTTGAGATGCACAACTAGGACTGTTACACTCGCATATCGCACAAAACATGAATAGAAAGCCATGTAAAGTTAAAAGAGGTTCAACTTTTAGAAAACGTGTCTCGAGAATTTGTGGGGGTTTTATTCCATTCCACTGCGTCTCATATGTTTTTAAATGCAATCGTGTGATCGGCGCTTTGGCTATTTGTATTAAGCTATACCTAAACACATGATGCCGTTTTGTTCATAATTTTTTTTGGTTCTTTGTATTAAGCTATACATGATGCTGTTTTGTTCATAATTGTTTATGCAATTTACGAAATTATATTTGATTAACAAATATTAGTTTAGACGGTATGCACTTTTTTATAGACAGCCGTTATTTCAAAGCATTGAATAGACAACTTAATGAGGTGCATTATTTTTCTCATTGTGCCCTCCAGTGGCCTCAGGAGACAGGCCAAATGTTTCCTTAACACTTAATCTGCATATGAAATATAAAAAAAGGAGATATTTGCTTCAATTTTATTTAGTGTTTGACTGTTAAAACTAAAATAAGTTGTTGTTTGTTTTAATAAATTGGGTAAATTAAAAATACAGTGGTTAAATGTATCCCTTTTTTCTACTGCTCTTTAAGAAAGGTTGTAAAAAATGTTCAATAATTATCGATACCGAATGATATGAAACATTATATCGTAGGGCTGTGCAAAAAATCGAATGCGATTTCCATGCGCATCTCGTCAGTAAAGCCGCTTCTGTGATTAGTAGTAAATCTCCAGCACGTGCTTTCAGATGGAGCGGCATTTACTACAGAGCCGTAGTTCACTGACAAGCTACACAAAATCGCGTTCAAAATCGCAGGTGATTCATTGCAGATTCGATTTTTTGCACAGCCCTATTATATTGTGATACTTTTTTTAGCTATATTGGCTAGCCCTACTGCAGTCAATGTAAACGATCAAGTGAGTGACATGAATACTAGCAAGATAGAGATTATTTATTTAAAAATGTTTGGCACATACTGATGATATGTTGTTATTTGAACTTTGCTTTGCATATTTCAATTATTGTAAAGAAACACTTAAATCCTACAAAGCATTACAAAAGTAGTTTTATAATGTAGTGTACTATTAAAAAACTCAGAAATCCAACCACCATCTATACACAAAATGTTGTAACCCATGCACAACGCAACGTACATGACCAATTAACCACAGTGTAAGTCTGATATACATCAATAATGAACAAAATACTGTATAACAAGCAACGTAAGTTTCAATTATCACACCAAGACCATCCAAACATGTACTTACAAATTTGAGCATGTTCCAATCAAACACGTAGTCATAGGAAAAGCCCTGTCTGTGGAACAGATTCCTGAAGAGTTGTCTCAAGTAGGAGTAGTCTGGCTTGTCATCAAATCGCAGTGATCGGCAAAAGTTGAGGTACGTAGCAAATTCAGCTGTGGGACAGAAAACAAGCAGCCACATTACAATCCAGGATTTTAGGCATAATTTCAAAGACAAAGTCTGATTAACATTCAGAAAATGTTAGAAATTACACAAGCCTTTGAACATACATGGGTAGCCCTTGCAGAGAACTTCAATGGGGGTGGACATCTTCTTTTCACTGATACGCTCATACTTCTGTCTCTTGGTGGCGGCTTTCAGCCCCTGCCAAGGGAGCGAGCCCAAGTTGAAGTACATCAGTACATAACCGAGAGACTCCAGGTCATCCCGCCGAGACTGCTCTGTAGAGATACGCACACAGAATTATAGGCGCTTGCATAGAGCATGAAAGGATGACTACTACTGCATGAATCATGAATAAGCATTCATATTGCTGCAAACACACGTACACATATCAATCTCTTCTGGGAAATGCTAAAAATATACATGCATCCACTTGAGCATGAGCACACAGTGATGTCATACTGAGCCAGCAGAGAAATAGGGAAGAAAAATTAATCTGGAAACATCGTCAAATGATCAGTTACCACAGCCAGAGCTAGGGCTGGATGATTATCGTATTTTATGCGATCGTGAGTAATGCTTCTCTTGATTAATTAAAGATAATTATCTGTGATATTTAGCCACTTGTTATTTATCCTGAAAGTATTTTTTTTTTGTCCATTTGACATTTGCATTCTTACATTGGTAACAAGCCTCCAACTGCTTTCATGCTTTGTTTAAATTAACATTTTCTGTCCAGTGTAATACTTGATGCATGCACGCTCTTTGAAAAAAAAAAAAAAAACTAATGATCTAAAAAACACCAGAAAACATGTATGTAGGAGTTTAGTAGTGCTGTGTTCAAAATATCGATACGACGATGTATCGTCGTTTAGTGATCTCCATTGAGATATTCTGCTGAAATGAAGGTGTAATACAACCGGTCTGTGTTCCATTTGTGCTGTTTGCTGCAACTAAATCCATCAAACCATCTCAGTGATGAACAAAATAAAATCTAATCATTAACTTAAGTTGGAATTGTTGGAGTTAATATTAGGAATTTCACAGGTTTAACTTTTGAGAGAAGCTTCTTGTTTTACCAGTTTTATAGTGTAGAGAAAGTATTAATTTATAAGTTAGGCTAGATATAATAAATCAGGAAACAAGATGAGGTAAATTAAACCATGCATATGAGTTGATGTTCACCTGCTTATGTGAAAGTTCAATAATATTACTTAAATGTAAAAAAAAAAAATACCCCTGATTACAAATTGAGCAAAATAATCATTACGATCAGTTTTACCGTGCAGCTAGATTTCTATGGCAAGAAATCTGGGTCTCACACACACACATGTATATACACGCATACAAATATACATGCCACAGTCAAATTTACAAGCTAACTGGAAAGAATGTGTGTTTTTACCAATGCCAAGATGTGTGTTGATAGATGCGTAACGCGCAGTGCCCGTCAGGTTCTTATTCTCGCGATAGGGTATGTGCTGGTGTGTTCGTGCATCACGGTATTTCTTGGCCAGGCCAAAGTCAATGATGTAGACCAGGTTGCCTTTCTTTCCCAAGCCCATCAGAAAGTTATCAGGCTTCACGTCTCTGTGAATGAAGTTCTTGGAGTGGATGTACTCGATGCGGCTAATCTAATGAATGCAAGGTTTACAAAAGACATTTTAAAATAAGTTATATTTCTGCAGAAAACTACTTTTTTTATTGCCAACATGATTTTGTATCATACCATCTGATCAGCCAAAAGCAGGACAGTCTTCAGGCTGAACTTCCTGGAGCAGAAATTGAAGAGATCCTCCAGACTGGGGCCGAGCAACTCCATCACCATCACATTATAATCTCCTTCTGCACCACACCACTTTATAGTAGGAATGCCAACTGCAAAAGCAGCACACAAAACACCTAAATACACAGCCTGAAACCCAATAGATGCTTGTTGGCAAGTATGAATCATTTCATTGATTACATTGATTTATTGAGCCCCTCAACCCCTTATTTACATATCAATCAAAACCCCTTTCTTATTACCTCCACCCTGCATCATCTTGTAAATCTTGCTCTCAATGTGGAGCTGTGGGTGCTTTGTCTTCACACATTCCAGTTTGATGGCCACTTCCTCTCCAACTGAAATGTCTGTGCCTGAGGCAGAGAGAGAAACAGAGAAGGAACAGAGCCATTAAAAGCATGAATGGGGTCAGAACACAGCCTGAATCTCCAACAAGCTGACATGAGTGTAGATCATAATTAATATACCTTTATAGTTTGTGCATACAATACTGTTCAAAAGTTTGATCGGTTTAATGCGTCCCTGCTGAATAAAAGTATTAATTTCTTTTAGCAAATTCAGTAATTATTCAATCGACCTTAATGGCCCGTTCACACCAAGAACGATAACTATATTAGTGTCCACATCAGCGGATGATAACGTGTTGTTTATTCTAAGCGCACGCTCATTTGCCGCTTTAAATTCTCGAGGTCCTTATAGCAGGATTGATTTTGATTGGCTGTCAATGTTTTAATCATTCATCAGCTGGAAAAACTTGTTCTGAAAGTGATTCCAACGATATTGTTTCTCTGTGCCTTTATCGTCATAGCTGTGGCGTGGACACTTTAATATTGAGAATTATTTTTAGACCTATATCTTTATCATACTTGGTGTGAACAGTAGTGCTGTGTTCAAAATATCGATACGACGATGTATCGTCACAGAGATTTGACGATACGAGTATCGATACAGCTGGCCCTGTATCGATATTGTGGCACGTGTGCAGCAGTGGACCACGCTTAATTTGTTTAAAATTTTACAACGTTTAAAATTGAGTAGAAAAGTGCGAGGTTTCTAAAAAAGAATGAATAGAGCATATATAGGCTACAACAAGGTTTAATCTGGCCGCAGAGGAACACAACTGGGTTGCCTGATATAAAGAGACGTAATCCCCAAAACAGAGCTTTACACTTGCGCAATACGGAAATATCTGCTAAGTGTGCTACTTTTCTTTGTCAACCTGGCAACCATGTGCACACGCGCTCTCTCTCCACTGTGGATAAGCACGCTTGCTTTCTGAAGACACCGGTAAGCTTGCAGTTTAGCGATCTCCACTTCAATATTCTATTCTCAGAAAAGTGTAATTCATCAACTGTTCATTTACGACACACACAGAGAGAGAGGCGAGTAAAATCTGAGAATTTATTAGCAATTGGCTAATATTAGACATCATTTAGTCGCCAGAGTGAAGATTTAGTCGCATATGCGAGTGATTTACTCGCAATGTAGAGGGTTGTAACACCATGTGTTTTTGTATTTCGAGGATAATCCGCTCCTCGTCGTCCATTTCTGGATTCCTGTCAAAGATATGTGACCGTGAAATACGATCGGGAGTCTGCACAGTGTGTTTATTTTAAATAAAAGTTTTTAAAAAAGTGTTTTAATAAAAGACATGATTTTTTTACTTTTATTTTGTATTTGCTGTGCGGTTTGGACGCGGCGTCCGTCAAAAATAGACTAGGCGCCTATCTTTAGCGAAGCGGCGCGGAGACGCTTCTGGGACGCTTTTGAAACGTGCCGCGGCGAGTCTGGTGAAAACACAAGCATTGACTAGAATGACTAGGTAGCCGCGTCGGAGCCGTAACGCGCCGCAGACGTGTGCAGTGTAAATCAGGGGTTAGATACAGTGAAGACAGTATCAGCCTTGAGCGTGTGTGCGTTAGATACAGTGAAGACAGCCCGTTAGTTTAGAACTCTTCTCATTTTTTTTTTATTGTAGAGATTGTGTTAATTTGTGCAATGATAACCTAGCAGCAATGTAAATTATTTTAAAAATATATTAGAATGAGTACATTACAATATACATTTATTAGAACAAGTACATTATTACTTATGGGCTTAAAAACAAGATGCAAACAATAATAACAATAACAAAACAATAACAAAGAATATTGTACCTGGTGGGGAGTGCACAATGTAAACATGAAACATATGCCATTACCTATATTGTACTGTGGTACAGTTATGGATGCCCTTCATAATGCAGAGGTCAACTGCCTGCTCTGCCAATAGTTAGAAATGGCACTATAGTAAGCAGTGTTTAATAAACAGTTGTTTTTCTAAATTCTGCTGAGGTGAAATTCAGTGCAGTCATGTATCGTGATACGTATCGTGGCCTCTGTATCGTGATACGTATCGTATCGTGACTTTGCTGGTGATACACAGCCTTAGTGAACAGGCCTTAAGTAGTTCCAAACCCTCCATGGCAGTCAATGCAAATGAAGTTTAAGAATGTCTAGAGTTATCTTATCCTTATCTTAAAGGACTTGGTGCAAAACATCTTGACTATTAGGGCCTTATGATTTTCGCAATGCGGAAAACACGGACAGAAATGGCGAATTCAGTAATAAAAGGGAATTTACTGGGAAATGTCAGACTCAGAATTTAGCAAAGTATGGATGAATAAATTAAAAACGGCTGTACAATTAATCAAAACACAATATGGACTAGTTTATGTAAATATTAAACCGCAAGAAGACTGCTACTGAAATTTGAAGTATGCTTGTTCTGTGTGTCTTTGTGTGAATTAACGGCAGTTTTGTCTACTACATGTACTCATGGAGCTTTCTAGGGGTGCTCCGATTGATCGGCTACCAATCGCTATCGGCTGATAATTGCTTTGGGAAGTTTGATCGGCGGTCTCTATAAAGGCCGATCTCATAAAGCAATCTCAAGCTGACGAAGCACCTGCTGTGAGAGGTTTGGCATGACATGCAGCAGCACCGTCTCAATCAATAATGCTGAAGGTGAGGTACAATTCATATTTCATTATTAAATATAACAAAGTAATTTGAAAACTTTCTTTGAGATGTAATTTCAAATCACCACATCTCGTCTGCACTATAAGCGAGCTGCACATTGCACAGTTGACACAGGAATTGTCACTTGCACAATCGAGGAAGCGTTGCATTGTCACTAAAGTTTATAATTTGCCTTTCTTTAAGTATTGCCAGTGTTTAAACCATTCAGCACTCGCGCGCTCTCCTAGAGACGGTGCACTCATGCACACACATACCGCCTCACATACAGCTAAAAAAAATCAGGCTTGCGCTGCGTGTAAACTATTGTGCAGCAATTTCCCCATTGTAAAAAACAAAAATGCACTGCATGATCAAACATTTAGCTGAGATTATTATATATTTTTGAAAAATGTCTAAAAAAAATGCCCTAAATTCTAAAAAATTTCAGTGTATGTCATCGCTTTGTCATCCATGTTTTAAAGGGGTCATATGATGCGATTTCAAGTTTTCCTTTCTCTTTGGAGTAGTAAACCTGTCATGCAGCACTTAGTTTGCCAGAAAAATTGAAAAGAATTCTTCAAATTTCATTTGATTACATTTTAAAAGATGAATTAAATTGTTCAAGTTTTATGCATTCATTTAATTACCACCGTTTTGGTAATAAATTTGCATTAAATCAAAAAAACACGGAAACCAGAAAAATCATAAACAGTTGATTATAGGGATGTAACGATTAACCGCGAGCCGGTTGAAAATCGATTCATATCGGTTGAGATGCTAAACAAATCACGATTCAATTAGGGGTAAGAGTTTATATGAATGTATGTCTGAAGGGAACTTAGGGTCTTTAGAAAAGTTTAGATGGTATTTTTTATTTTCATCTTGCCTCTGTATAATGCATATTAAAGGGGTCCTATTATGCTCTTTTACAAAGTCTTGATTTTGTTTTGGGGGTGTACTAGAACATGGTCTCATGCATGGTGGTTCGAAAAACGCATTATTTTTCACATAATTTACATTATTAAAATACCTTTCTCCCCATCCTGGCACAAACGGCTTAGACAGTGTTTCATTACTGCCACGGCCCTTGCTCCGTCTTTCAACAAAAACTTTTGGGTGAATCCGGCACTGTACTCCCTCATGTTGTGGAAGCTGTCCTCAGTAAAATGCGCAGCACACAATAGCAAATTGGGGGTATAATGCTCAGGAACAGAGTTAAAAAATAAATTGCAACCACTGTTTCCCAGCCCGGAAAACAAACGCTGTAGTCCAAACGAGCCGTTCGTTGTAGTTCTTGAAAATGGATTTTAAAAAAACGAAATATCTCCCTTTGGAGTGGACTTTGAGATTTGTAACTTTTTAGATTTTTTTTAATGGCCAAACACACTGACTAAAATTAAAAAAGTGAAAAAGCATAATAAGACCCCTTTAAAGTTCATGCTGCTTTGTTTACAGTGGAAACCAAGGAAAAGCTTTAAGCGCCGCCTGCTGGCAGAGGGTGAATCTGCGTCTCATTCAACTTGTCTGTTGTTTCTGTTTCATGCAGATATTTTTTAATGTATAGTTTCACAAAGCTGAAGTCAAACCATTCTGTTTTTGCTTCAAATTTCGAAATTATACAATCTAATTTAGATTAAAAACTGCTCATGTTGCATGTATGCAGCATCTTTGTTTGGATCATGATTAAAATGCAGTTGTTGCCTCTAATTTTAAATGGAAAGAGCACAGACAAAGCCTTATTTTGTTTATATGAAGAGATGTCTTTTATTTGTGTTACTTAATTATTCGATTTGGTGCTTGTTTTAAAATTTCAATTTCACAAAGAAACGTGCAGCATTTTGTCCAAGCAATAATAAAAGGACACATTTAATTTAAAATTAGTATTAAATCTCATTTTGTAAAAAAAAAAGTGAATCGTTACATCCCTAGTTGATTATCCTTTTTTTATTATTAAAAATTAATTAAACCATTAACATGGAACCCAGAAAAAAAGTTAATCTGAAAACACAGAATTTGGAGAAAAAAATACAACTAATTTTACAGTGCCCTACTACATTTTAACTGACGGCAAGGGTGAACAAGATTTTGGCTCTAATAGAGATTCTCAGGGAGTAATAGATTGGGAATATAATCGGTTTAGACTTTGAATATATTGGACAAGTCATATGGAATACTTTTATTAGGCTTTTTTATTTTATTTTTTTATTAATAAGAGTACTCTGGACATTCTGCAAAATATCTTAATTTGTGTTCAACTAGCAAAAAAATCAGTTTGGAAACAAACCACAACCCATCGTTGTCTGAACAGAAACCCAAGGACTTGTTCTGCTGGTTTCTGAGATACACTATTTAAA